CTGGGGGCTGGTGGGCAGGGGCTGGCAGGGGTCCCTCCTCCTTCAGCCCCTACTTACTAGCTCCAAGTCAGCTGCAGCTCCCTGCAGTCCACCAGGGACTGTCCAAATCATCGAAGCTCTCCAAATCTTTTCCAAAGATTCAGAGAGTTTTGAATCGATTTGGACCTTTTTAAATGGTCCCGATTCAATTTGGATTTGGAGATTCGGCTACTGAATTGGCCAAATCTCCTCCTAATTGAATCACCACCCAAAGCTTCACACAGCCCTATTGATCACCAGTAACACATCAACACATCAGCCCAAATCCTACCAATCGTCACTACCAGAGCACTCTAGTATTATGGTGCGTCTAGGCTCCATGCCCCAATGCCACCTCTTTTTATTTCACTCACCACTGTGAAACGCACCTGCCTATTCCCATTCCTCACATTTCTCATCCAAACTCCCAGTCCTCCCCTTTCCTCTTCAGTCACGGGTCCCCTTGTTTCTTGTCCTAATCTCTTCCTGCCCTAGGGCCAGTTCTTGTTCTGTTTCCAGTTGGCTTAGGCAGCTTCATCCTCCATACTGCAAAGTCAGAGTATTGGAGACCCCAGGACAGCCACTCTGCTTCCAGTTCTGATGCCTGGCTTTAACCCCTCCCATATCTGCAAGAGCAAGAAGAAAGACCTGCTCAGTCTTTCAAGGTTTTAGCTCCCAAAGCTTTAACAAGCCTCAGCTAAGCATGTGTAGATGAGCAATTTTTCAACTTTTTAAGATCGTCAAATTTCAGAGGGATGGCAACAGGTGTATTTCTGACACTAAGACCATCTTTGTAAGGACTGGGTTGTAGGTGGTCTGGCCTAGTGGTTGGACCTATCACCACATCTGGGGTCAGGAAGGAAGTTTATCCCATGGTCTGATTGGTATGGACAGTGGAGGTTTCTACTTTCCTCTGTCGTATGGGGCACAGCCCTCTTCTTTGGGCCTCTTGAGCATATTTTAACCCTTGCAGCAGCACCAGGGCATAGGCCACCATTGTCTCCCTGCTTTATCTGTAACAGGTTAGGGTGACATGCCTTGTGGCTATGTGACAGGGATGACTCATTTCAGTAGCAGCTTAGAAAAGGATTTGTGTAGGATGGTTTGGACAGGGATGATCCTGATTCAGGCATAGGGGTTGGACTACATGACATTTAGAGGTTCCTTCCAGTCCTGCGTTTCTGATTCTGATTCACCTTTCTGGCTTTCTGAGTCCAAGTCTTGGAGAAGGACTTGCTCTGGAGCACTGCTCCATCTGTCTACCCCCTGCAAAGGTGCAACAGGCAGCGAACAACAGGACTAGCAGATCCTACAGCTCAGCAAGTGCTTCCCCTGTTTTGGAGCATGTAAACCAAGTTACTTTCTTGTGCAAGGATATAGAGGGACTGTCCTGATGCTGCAGGGTCTTCATCAAAAAAGACCCTCAGCTAAGCCAGAGGCACTATCACTACTATAAGTAAAAAAAATACAAACAGCAAAGAAAAGGTATCAAACCAAGAATTTTAAAACTTTAAGCTACAAGCTAGCTGTAAGGAACACACACTACTATATTTTGGCTTAGAGCCTCATGCTCTAAGGCGGCAAGCAAGAGGGCCTTCTGAGTATAGACACAGCCTAACCAGCAACATTTTAAAAGAATCCCATCCTAGGCACAGAGGGTTCATTCAAACTGATAGTGAAATCAGCATGGCCAGTACCTCAAAGACTAGATGTATTATCCTAGCGAGGTAATAGAATTCACATAGAATGCTGTTTTGTGTGACAAGCAACTACAATGTTTTTATAAACCAGCTGCCAGCAACATTTTAAATCCATGGGCTGGAACAGCTTGGCTTCTGTCCAACGCAAGCCAGGTGGCTTCTGTGACACAGTGGTGGGGCGGGGAGAGCATGGAGGAGCTTTGCCTGTGCAGGCCAGGGAGCTCAAAGCTCTGCCCATGCCACAGCTGCTACTCGTTGCTCCCCAGCAGGGGTGCAGGCACAGCTTGGGTGGGGTTAGGGAAAGTGGTGGAGGGAACTGCACTGGGGCCAGGTAGCTGTAGTGCATGCCCACACAGCTACTCCTCCTGTGCCACAACTAAGAGGCAGGAAGAAGGAAGGGAAGAAGCAGCAGCAGTGTAGACACAGCTTCCAGTTGTCTGGCCCTGGAGCAGCTCCCCACCACCTGGAGCCCCAGCTGGGGAGGAGGGGAGCTGGGAGAAGTGGCAGCACAGCTCCTAGCTTCCCAGCCTGACACCCATGCCACAGATGAAGTAGAGGCTAAGGGGTGAGGGGAAGAAGCAGTGGCAAGGGCGCAGCCGGAAGTTGCACAACTCTGGTAGAGCTCCTTGAGGGTACTTTTGGCATGGGCACAGGCAAAGCCCTAGGGCTCTGTGGCCCAGGATCAAGTGACTCTGTAGTATGTATGTTGCCAACCCCTGTTCTAAACCGTTCAAAGAAGACAGTTGAGTGGAAGCTGAATAGGAAAGGTGACAGAGCAGCTGCAGAAAGATTTCACCCAGCTAGTGAGCGGGCAAAAAATAGTAGATGAAGTTCAGTGTTGGTAAATGCAAGGTAATGATATGATAAAAAATAACTTCAATTATACATACATAATGCTGGGTTTTGAACTAAGTATTACAACTCAGGGTAGAGACCTTGGAGTGGCTATAGACAGTTAAAAACATCAGCTCAAGATCCAGTAGAGACCAAAAGCCAATAAAATGCTGGGCATCTTTAAGAAGGGAATAGAAAACAAGACAGAAAACATCCTCATACCATTATATAAATCAATGGTACACCCACATATTGAATACGGTATGGAGTTGGGGTCTCTGCAACTCAAAAAGGATGTAACAGAATTAGAAAAGGTGCAAAGCAGAGCAACCAAAATGATCAGGGGTATGGAGCAGCTGCCATACAAGGAGAGACTAAAAAGGCTAGTACTCTTCAGTTTGGAAAGAAAAGTGCTGGGGGGGGCAGGATAAACTAAAGGTCTATAAAATCATGAAGGGTTTGGACGAAGTGAACAGGGAGCTGTTGCATCCCGAGTCCCAGAATGCTAGAACCAGGGGGCACCCAATGAAAATTAGTAGGAGTCAGGTTTAAAATTAGTACGAGATTTTTTTATGAAACACAGTTAACTTGTAGAATTCACTGCCACTCAAGCTGATAGAGGCAGATAACATAGCCAAGATCAAAAAGGGACTAGACAAATTCATGGATAACAGATCTATTAACAGCTGTTGAACAGAATGGTTGAAGATGTTTTATCTGGCATCTCTAAACCAATGATGGTGGATGCAACAAATGAAAATGGATACGGGATAGATGACCCTAGATCTATCCAGTTCAATGTTCTCCCTCTAGCAGCTGCTTCTGCCACTGTCAGAAACTGGATACAAGGCTAGACGGATCACCAGTCTGACACAGTATGGAACTTATATAATTCCTATAATAAACAGTTCAAAACAGGATAGATTAGTAGTATGAAGAAAACCATTTATTTGTTCTCTACAAAACAAAATAACACAGGATTAGAACAACAGACCAGGAGAACATACAAAGGTCTTCCCCTCATGGCTAAAGATGACATGGTCAGCACTGTTTTCCTTTCACTGGTTTCTTCTAAATTAGGATTTGGCAGATGGACTCTGAGCATACTCATCTCTCAGCGTGCTTTCTTCTCCAAGTTCTGGCTTACAAGACTTTCATGTCTTTTGAGAGTCTAAAATAAAATGACAAGGAAAGAGTGGACATGTCACATAAGAGGCTGTAGCAATGAACTTGGAACTAGGAGTCAACAAGATATTTGATTTTGAGGTGAATAATATTAATACATTCATACTAAGAAATGGCTCTTTTGAGCCTATGCACAGCTGCTCTTTTGCAATAACTGTCAACTTTAACATCAGACAAGAGGATTAAAATAAAAGCCCCAAAGAAACAAGTGCCTGATCCTTGAAGTTTGTTATTTCCCTGAATCCAAATTAAGCCAAGACAACAATGGCTTCAGCAGACACATCCCAATTTCTTTTAGATGGCTATACTCTTCCTTATTTCTCAAAAGGCAGCAGTTATTGGAAACAAACCAAAGATAGATATAAAAATTACAACAGATTCCAGTACAAACTGCTGTGGTCATGAAGCACTTAAAAATTACTTCCACTACAATCTCACTTTCCAATGTTTTCACTAATTCATAAACCACCAAAACAAGGACTGGAGCTGTCTCTCTCCAGCTTCTCCAGAAAGGGAGTTAGCTTTTAGAAGTCAGAAGGAAATCCCTTTCAGTCCTGTTTGTATTCAGAGAAGAGGACACAATAATATATTTACCAATTATAAACATGTCCTGGGGTATAGGTTGTAGCTGTGTTGGTCTAAGGGAATAGGCAGACAAAGTTCTTTGGGTAAATCTGATATCTTTTATTAGACCACAAGAATAGGTTAGTGCAGCACTTCTCAACTGGTGGGTTACAACCCAAAAGTGGGTTGCAACAATATTTGAAAGGGTTGCAAGGAAGTTCTAGAAAAACCTGCAAAAGTACAGGTTTCCCCTTGCAGGCTGGCAGTGTTCCAGCCTGCAAGCGGCTGCTTGGGATGATTGGAGGCAGCAAGCAGATGCGCATCTGCATGTGGCCAGCATACAGCGAGGCCGGATCATGGGAGCAGCCCCAGCTGCTGGACCCAGGTAAGTGTATGAGGAGTGGGGGATGGAAGTCCAGGGGACTGTCTGGAGGACTTTGGTGG